CTCGTATAATAACGTTTGTCTGTATAGAAATTTCATATTATTTGTTAATGTACAAATGTACACATGACATAGCTGTGCCGTGAGATGTTTAGCCCTAAACTAATGAATCTCCTCTCTTTTCCATGCGCTGTTATATAACATTAAATTTCTCACCGTTGAAAGCTCCGTGCCAGCATGCTTGTGCAAATAGCGCGACACAAATCGTCGAGGTGTACCTCTGCCTCTTTCGTTGTTCGCGCACCAAGCTCGAGTTGTTCCTCTCGGCCCGTGTCTCGGTCGCCTCGGCTTCCCAGTCAAAGAGACTGGCGAGGAGAAGGGCGAAGAGTTCTCTCATCAATCACCGCAGTCCGCGGGCCCGTTTATTTTAAGTCCGCCGCGTTTTTAATACACGCGTCATTAACGCGTGCTGGTACCTAAGCGGCGACGACGAGGACAACGAGACGACGAGGACGACGCCGACGTGGCGTACAATTAAGCATGCGATGTTCGTAACGTAAAAAGCGTATAATGTATGTACATTTTGGAGATAGGTTTCTCAAGGTGACGAAACGACCTTCATTGCACGAATTATGCCCCGATCACGAATGGCGATCTCACGATAGGCGATGCGTAAAATCGAAATGACGATCCTTAAACGTCGCGAAGAATCGCGACAAAAGATGTCATATCATTAGATGCCGTGAGATGAACAGGTGATTTATTACGCGTTCCTTTTCCTTCTCTGTAGGTGAAAGGCATTTATCTTTGAGGAACTTGTATTACACAATAAACAGGAGGATCTCGGATCATCGTAATAATTAAAAAAAATTCAACCGCTTGTCGCAATTTATATCAAGTTGCAAACGAAGTTATTCATCTCTGAAAATGTCATGACATATGGATTGCATCGATTAATAAACTACAAAGTGTGCCAATTAAGTCTTTCTAAACGTATGACATTTCGGTCGAACTCGCGCATAATTTTCATTTTAATATCGTCGCCGTGTAGCACTGGTCCGAAATACTCGCCGCGAAGTTTCACGCCGGATATTTATCAAACCGCTGTTAAGCCCGACGCGTCGATACGCATATACGCTCGCCGGTCTCTGTATTTATTCGATGAGTCGCCGAATACGTAACGGCATTAACGCCCGAACTTATGGAGCGAAAGTTTTATCGCCACGGCACTCTGCTCCGTACAGCTGCGCATATACGTTTCGCGTAACATACGGGCGAACTATTTGGCCGGAAAGTCGTTAACTATTAGCATCGACTTGACTTAAGTGCGCGGAAAGACTTACGATCTATTACGACCGTGCTCGATGCATTTATTTTCAGTACTTGCGTAATATTCAGATTAATATTCCGTTCTTCTCACTTGTTCATATGCTTATAGCTCATCGCAAAAAATTTCTAGTTAAAAATAAACTAGCATATTCTTGTCATCATAATTAAACATCTTGGTAGTTAATTAGAATTATAATAGATGCTTAATATTTATGCTATTGTTTTTATCAATGTAAATTAACTTTAATCTTAGTTCAATTTACTCTTCATCTGTTTTTAATTTTTAGAAGTAGAAAAAGATTAAAATTAAATTACATTGATAGAAACTGATATTAACGAGAAAATTCTGATTTGTCATTTTTCTAGAGTTCCAATTAACGCAACTATATTATTTTTCCAGTGTAAACTTAATAGAAACCAAGAGGCACTCCTACAAAGTGATATATTGCATGACGTCGTAGTTTAATAATTATTATTGATAATTTAAAACCTGTACGATTTGTGTCGCAGAGAGAGCACGCAAAGATATCTTCGAGTGACATCTGTTCGGCACTCTGCATTTCCTTTCACTTTATGTCTTGTCACAAAGTTGTGCGACATTTACGATGTCGCGTGCACCCATCGCATACGCCCACATAATTACTCGGCGCACTAAAAGAGAGAAAGAGAGTGAGAGATACCAATTAACACACCCCAAGTTCCTCTCTCCGGATGAATCGTGATCCTCTGCCGGGTGCATCCTGGATCTGACGGAACGGGCTGTGCTCGCTTTCGATTAAAATTCATTAAAGCCACTGAGATTAGTGCGGTTCTGGAAATGGACTTCGAAGGCCGCGCGACGCATATCAATCGAGGCGACGAGGGGCGGAGAAGGATGCATCAGAAAGAGAAAACGGGAGAAGAGAAGAAGACTAAGGAAAGAGAAACGAGAGGGCGGAACAAAAGGAAAGGAGAGAGAAAGAGTGAGAAAGAGACGGACCGAAGAGACCCGAGAAAGAAAGCCTGGGCGAGTCGCTAATGAGAGCGACAATTCAGTGTGTCGGGCGCAGGCAGCGCGCGGAATGCAGTCAGCTTCCAGCATTCAGAAATTTATTCCCACCGCCTTCCGCCAGTTTCGTTTTATCGCCTGACAATATGCCGCTTCGAGAGAGAGACCAGTTCACCAGAGTGCCCGTGTGTACTCGCAAAGTTACAAAATCGACGCTCACCGTTCTCTCGATGTGCGTCAAGCGGTACCCTGTGCGAGATCGCTGAGAGATTGATTTTTCCATCGACGGAATCTGCATGCGGAATTATTGTCGACTGGTTCGCATTTTTACACTTTATCGCATGATCGAGTCTTTTAATGCCGATTGCTGTTACATGCTTTACGTTACAACCTGCTAAAGCAGCATTTATGGCGTACGGTGTACGTCAAGTTAACTAGCTTATTTATGTTCATGCATTTTTACAGTTATATAGTTTGCATGTTGCGTTAGAGTTTTAACAGTTGGATAAAATATAAAAGCGAAAATGAAAAGAAAGCTATAATTTTATATTAAAGTAAATGGTAAAGAAAAGATGGTAAAAAAATTCTGGGGGCATGTATACAACAAATAATTGTAAAAATTTATATCACATTATGTAGAAGGGAAAAGACAAAATGTATGAGCAGGTTTGTTTATCCCCAAGTAATTAGTCTTTTCTACTATGAACGTAGCGTGGAAAGAGTATCCCCCAAGGAGACACTTCACCCTTAGCAGTGCCGAAATCTGGTAACCATTCGCCGACTTAACCAGAGTTTTACGAACGGCTTTGAGCGAGACAATGGCGAGGTTCCGGGTTTACATTATTTAATGCCGCGCAGTCGGTGGTCGGGGCGTTAATTAGGCGGCGCTCATATGCTAATACGGGGACTAAGCTCCGCTTACTCGCATAGTAGCTGCCATGAGCCAAGTACAAGCATACTGCGCTCATTCGGTTACTTGGTTATGGTACGCCAAAGCGTACTAGTCCTACGATGTCGCACCTATTCGAGCACCCACACGCATGCACGCACACATTCACGTTGAAACCTTGTGTTCACACCAATCTCGTCGAGCTATTTGTCTCGCTAATATCTTCTCTTCCCGTTCCCTCCGCAATCGTCTTCCTTCCAGGGGCGTCGACTTAGGATTTTGCCAAGTATGGAGTAACGGGCTGGGACGGACTAAAGCCTTCAATAACACAGGAGCAACAAAAAAATCTCTGATCGGAGGGTGAGATGTACGATATGATTACGTTTAAATATTACTTTCATTTTTGCAATATTTCGATTATATATATTATAGTCTGGTATATATATTTTATATACAGGGTGTCCGTCCATAAATGTCCGAGCAAATATCTCGCAACTGGTTGAAGTTACAAGAAAGTTTAACAAGAGAAAGAACCTTGCATTAATCCTATATGAAATTGGGTCTCGGTAAAATCAAATGGTTTTCACATATGTTATAGCTTATGACCTGCTAAAGAAAACGTAAAAGTTTTAGCGCAAAAAAATTAACAGTTTTTGTATACGATTCACCTATAATATATATCGCTGAAATCTGACCATAAAATACTCAATAACTTCTAAACGGCTAATCTAAAATGGATAAAAGTATAGTAATACAAAATAATAATACACAATGTCACGACGAATTTCTGCATAAGAGAAGTGCTTAAAAAGAACTTAATGCTCATAATTTTTTCTGTAAAAAAAAAAAAGAAAGAGAATCTGAAAATTCTTGTTCTACATAACTTGCAATATGATAATTGGCACTGCAACATTGTTATACGATGCACCTTCACAAGCTGAAAGAATACGTTTACACATAGTTATATTATACGATGGCTGAATTTAACGTCAGATATATGTAATTCTGCGTTTTACTAATATTTGTGATTTTACTGAAGAAGGCCAGATTGTGACCGAAACGTCTAAAAAATGTTTTATTAATGTAATGATATATTAAATATCACAAACAATATTTTGTGCTGTGGTTTTATGCTCTTCTTTTTGTAAGTTTTAAAAGTATAGTGTTTTGAAAAGGACTATAAGAAAATGGAAAAAAGTGGGGGTCTCACTTTAAAAAATCTGAGTTAACTTTATCTACCTTGGCAACGCTACCCAAAGTCAAAATGAAACCAGCGGCTAGATTTTTAAACTCTACAACTTATATCTATAACATTTTTTTTATAAAACTTATAGTTTTCCAGATATTTTGCAGTCTCGGAACATTTATTTATGTTCCTTATATATGATTATATATGGTGCTAATATATAATTATTATCCATTATTATATATAATTATTATGCTATATATAATTACATATTATCATATGTAATGTCCAAGATATGTATACATGTATAAGACGATACTTTGTTACAGAATATGTAGTGTAATTCTCTTAGCTGACCAGCACTTCCGGTCTTATGAAGAAGTAAAAAATTGGATCGATTCGTGGATCGATCAAAAGATGACCAGTTTTTTCGACGCGGGATTCGCTGAAAGATGGGAGAAAATAGTGGCCAGCGATGGACAATACTTTGAATCATAAATATATAACCAGTTTTTTACAATAAAGCCTCGAATTTCGGAAAAAAATGGAAGCAAAGTTGTACACCTAATACATACATGGAAAAATTTCAAGTGTGGAATACTCCACATCAACCACATTATAGTCGACGCCCTTGTTTCCTTCTACGCTTCTAACAAGGTAACAAAGCTTACCTCTCTCCGCTTCCCTCTTATCCTCATCTTGAATTCGCCTATTCTCGACATTCGACGTGTAAGCATCTATATGAACAAGCTACAGCGTCATTCCGGCTCTTCGAAATAGCCATCACAAAAGTACCTAAAAAGATTAAAATGGCTGTTATTAGAAACTGGCAACAGAAAATGCAATTTAGTAATATGGTTTGCTATAATTTTTAACTCTTAATACCTCATAACGGAAATAATACAGAAATGTTTTATAAAAATAACATATAAAAATATTTTTTCAATTAAAATGCTATTAAGAAACATGTATCTTCATTAATAAAAAAAAATTATGGCAATGGAAAAACATTGGAAAGAAATCGAATGTGTCGTATCAAAAAGAATTAACAATTTAAGAATTAACAATTATATCTTAAACATGTAAGAAAAACTAAATGCATCCAGCTATTAAAATAAAGCACATGATTGTTTATGAAACTAAAAGCTATCATAAGCAACCATATAAAAATCATGAAAATAATGTCACCATCATGCTCAGTGTCATCTGATCAAAGTTATATCGCATTGTAAAAGGTTTGACCGGCGCATTACAGAAAGAAGCTGTGATCTCTAATTTTTTACACGTGAATGATGCCCGACGCCTTGAAGGCGTCCAGAGACCGTATCGAGGATCTCCGTCGTCTAAGATTTCTCTGATAGGACTGAATCCGTGGCCTCCATCTAGATTGGTATCTAAATAGCCGACGATCCTCCGAAGGGATTCGTCATTCTAACACACTATTTGAAGGCAGAAGACACGAGAGAAGGACCGCGCTTCCCTTTCGCTTGATTTAATTTATACGTCCTGAAATTGAGGAGTATATAATCGAATCGTTTGGTCACGGTCGATCGCGAATTTTAACATTTTTTTATTTTGCATCATAAATAATTAAGATCATTCGAGTAGTATAATAGTTCTTAATGTTTGTGTTCTCTGTGTTTATTAGTTGAAATAATTTGAATAACTAAGATTTTTGTCATTCCTTCGTTTATCATCGCGTCTGTAGAAAATCAAAGCTGGAGCAGTATACATAAAAGTTTCAAGATGGTTACCACCTCGATAAAAATCTTATCGCTGATTGGAATACTATATTGAACGTCGCCACACCTGTTCGACTAGATGTATGCTAAAAATGGTTCGAGGGTCAGTAGAATCCGCAAGAAACTCACATACACGGAATTACATCTTAACCCAATATAAACTATTAAAGACATAACATAGCCTATAGCAGAATCCGTAACTCTATATCGTGGCGCGGCGGATTCTTTTGATGCGACGCGTTTCCATCCAATCTTTAGCGCTCTGTTCATCTCCATGGTACAGTACCGCAACCCATCCAAGTAGAACCGGCTACAAGAGTCTCGAATACCTCTTCAGGTACGCTCGGTGCCCGATCATCGCGAATGCCTGAGGAGATAAGAATACATGCTTGTTCCGTGAAAGTATTTTATCTTTGCGCTGCTATATATTCAGAAAGAAGACAAAGTTAATCTTGCTACACTTGTTTTTAATTATCTTCCTTTTCACACTTTCCAAACTTTCAAGTTTTTTTGACCCATTCGTGTAATAATTTTAGCAAATTAAAAGAATCGAAATAAATGTACAAATAGTGAGTAAAACAAACATATACGAATGTACACGAAAAGAATAGTTTTACTAATTTTGAAAATTTAGCTAGATACAAATCTGAAAATAATTTTGTTGGCCCATCTAACTAATTTTGTAGGACTCTCAAACTAATTGCTTTAAAACTTTTTATCTTCATACTTAAGTGTCTTACACAATTATCTTGATAGGACACAATTATTTTTAAATGTACATATCTATAGCTAAATTTTTAAATACTTTAAAAAATCGTTCTATGTCGGCTTAAAACTTTTATTTATTATTAGTAAATTCTAGCGTGTGCAAGACCCAACAGTTTAAGTTTAGCCTCAATCATATATCGGCCCTGAACATATCACGGTACGTAGAATGATCTAACCATACATACCATCGCTACTTATAACAAATGTAAGCAGTATTATAACTTCGGTCACATTCATAGCGTCCGGTTGGGATCCGATTACGTTACGACGAACCATACGCGTGTACAAAGGAGAGTTTATCCTCGGAGGAAAAAGTAGCAGGGTCAGTCGATATAAGAAGGCCGAAATAAAACGAAGCCTGGTTTCGCGGGAAGGCGAACTAACAATAAGACGTGTCAGCAACACCACACATTTGTCGTTCGATAAGAGTAGTATATTATAACCAAAGCATGATATAAATACATTCATAATCACGACCAGACGACGATCGAATTGACAGTGCGTGGCGTCAATGTCTGTTCGACGATGGCAAACGCGTACCGATGTACGCAACGTAGGCAACGTGATAACGAGAACTGTTGTGCATCTCTCCTTCCCATTGGATCTGACGATTATCCGTTGCGATACACTGAGCTGATCATTAAGGAGATGTACACCCTGGACGTTCGTGGAAGACATCGGAGTGTCTTCAAAGTCGAGGATGCATCTGTGCGCGTGCAACATGCGCACCATGTCTCTTCGGTGTCGCGGCTATGTTGTCTTGGTCGCCGATTATAACGAACGAAGATACGAGTTGCACGTAATCGGGTTGTGTGTGATATTATCCGCATTGCAGATTTCGCTGCGCCAAACATTGGCTACCGTACGCATGTATATCCATTTATAATTGCATTAAGTAATATTAATTTTCTCGCTTTCCTGAAAGAGATAAAAAATTTCAAATGTCGTAAATAAAATATAACTATGCTACTTCCTTCCTCCTTTTTTCTCTCCGTATATCAGTAGCTTCCGCGATATCTTTTAATCTTCGATGATATCTCACAAAAGCTGCCAAAGCTGCCAAAGATGCCAATAAATCGCAATTTCTTCTATACTTGTTTTTGATTACTGAAGAATTATTTTGATATTATTCGTATCATTAGAATTTTTATTATATTTACTTAATATTATATTTTTAATATTCTGTACTGTATATTTAATACAAAAAAAAAAAAATTGAAACGATAACGGAGCCAAAATCACCAGCAGTCTAGTATTAATCGTGCAAACAAAAGGATTAGACGGATCGTGTCTGTTCTCGATGCAAGTCTTTTCTTCGTCTCGCTGTTCCTCTTTCATCTTGTTCGCCATCGTCATCAAGTAATGAACTATCGAAAGAATTTGAGACAGAATGTGAATTTATAGGTTCGCCATTATTTATAATTTCTATTCTGTCAGTCGTTCGCTGTCGGCGTTGTTGCACCTTCGTGCTTTCGCGCCTTAAAAGAATGATCGAGATAGGAGAGACCTTTTTTTTCGCCACCGGCGCATCTGTTCATTCTGAGGTACAACTACGACAACAACGACGGTGACGATGACGACGGCGAGATGAGAAGACGGAAGACACAAAGTACAAGAGAAAGAAGGGCTTGACCGCCCCCGCAACTCGAAGAGACGTCGAGATGCCCGCCTCGATAATACCTGAGACAATGACCGACCGCCATCATTACCCGCCTAGAAACGCGTATTCGTGCACGACACCGCGTGCCAGGAACGCTCTCTTACACCTGGAATCAATTTATCAAGACCCAAAAGAATATGGTACGAATGTGCTGAATATCGTCTGCGTGAGAGTATCGAGTAGGTATTCTTCACGTGGATTAACCTTATTACGATAAATTGCTAATATAGAAAGTTTCTTTGATGTATTATAATATTGTTTGACATATATTAGTTCCTTTAAGGTAATCTGATTTATGAAAATCCTTCTGATTTCTGTTCATCTCTTCTGTTCATTTAAGGTAATCTGATTTATCAAAATCCTATCGCAATCGAAGTGTAATTAACCGCACACAGAAAAATACTGATGATGTATTTACTGAAAGACCCTCAAGCAGGCTTACAGAATTACAGCACCTCGTGTAACGAGTCGTGTGTTACGTCACGTTAAAATCCCTCTAATGACACACATCTTTGCCGCATGATCTTCGAAGTCGACAGCGCGAGATGCAATTAGCAGGGTCCTTAAGCGCGGTAATCTCGATGAGAATCAGCGGAACAGTTTGGTTGGACGGACCGTACGCACACGCACGTACTATAATAGCAGATTTTTGTCCGATCTCGAGATGCGATGTAGTGATTAAGTCACCCTTTAACAGACGCGCCAGGCGTATATGTCATGTGTGTGTTCACGCCACATACGTACGTATACATATGAAGCACCGGATAACGAGAGAAGACCACGGTGAAGAACGTCGGTCGTCCACATCTCGGAGGAGCTCGTTAGACAGCCTACGCCACCACTCGCCCGACTTATCGTCCGCTTGCTTCCGTTCGTTTCTCCTCTTCCTCGTTTTCACCGTCTCTTCGCGTGTCTTTCGTCCGAGACTGTCCGTCCGTTTGTCCGTCAACGAGGAAGACGAAAAGCGCAACGGCGCGGAGCTCGACTTCACGGAGCGGCAATTCACCATTTGCACAAAGCAGAGAAAGAGAGAGACAGAGAGGGAGAGAGAAAGAAAAAGATGATCTTCAAAGCGACGTTAACGACGATCATCTGGCGGTTTCTGAATTCCAAATGATATGGCGCTTCGTGCTCTTTGAGAGTCACGTATTTTTAGACAGTTAATTATATGGCCCGTCCAATCGTCACTGCATGATTAAGCTCACCGATATTTCGCCTTTGTCCTCTGCATGAGACACTCCGGAATTACGTATGTTTCTTCTCCTTCTTATATAGAATAAAAAATAATATGACAAGATATTAAGGAGAGGGGTCTTAAGCTCAATAAACAATTGTAAATATATTTGTAAATTTATATTTACTAATTGACAAATACATTTAGAATGGTTTAAAGAAATTAACATCGTACTCGATAATTCATCACTTAATCATCTATTATTGTTAATACGAGCCAAGTAAAATTAATTTGGTTTTATTTATTAGAATAAAAAAACTTGTAAAAAATTTCGATATATCGATCATTCTTATATTAGATTCCAGATGTATGTCCTCAGATATTATTCATGTTAATTCGCAATATGTTACATATGTCGCAAGATATTGTTATTTTAACATAACATGTAATC